CGGTTTTCCTGCAAGTTTTTGCTCACTTATTTTTATATTACTATATTACTATTTTTAATCTATTTTATTGGGGGGTATTAGTACATAACTTTATCTAAACTTAATGTAAATGAGGTTTAGGGGTGTATAAATTACAGTTGTAGCCGACGCCTTCCAGTGGCTCCCTAGTTATTATGCAACCCGTTATACACCTCGTTTAGGGCCTTACGCTAGTCCGTCTCTTCCGGGCACTAGATGGCACCATCAAAATCTGCGTTACTATATTACATAAGAACGTGACCATAACTAATACGTACCCGACTACGATATGGAGTCCACATCGATCGAAGCATCAAGAAACAACGAGAGATCACAACGAACGAAATATTCAATTATTAATAGTATTCTGATATATTTTATTATATATTTGTTTGTATTACTTTTATATTTTTGAATAAATAGTTTCCAATTCTACACAGTAGATTTTAGTAAACCTAAAAACGTCACCAAGAGCTCTTCGTGGGGAATATTACTTATGGGTAGCTATTGATTTTAATAAATAACAGAGTTTTACTCGTTTTTACCCCTAGCTACCGTAAATAGATCACTATTATTTATTTATTTTCATAAATACAGTACACACCTCATGTGTCTCAGTTTTAAAATTAACCCCTAGTCCCATTTAAATATTTTTAAGTCTAATATAGTGTTTTAGTAGTGAATAATATACCCAGTGATGTTAGATTATTGTTAATAGTTGGGGAATCTAATCGTTAATGTACTAAATGATTTAGTTGTTAAATATTGTTTATTTCGAAGTGTGAACGAGGTTGAACCCCCATGTCAACACACAACAATTTATTTGTATTAAAGCTTGAGCATTTATATATTGAATTTTTCGTATTATTTAATCCCACTTGCTAATTGTCTGTTTGATTTCATAATCGGGTTGGCAATAAGACCTATGGTAAGGTAACGTTTTATAATAGTAGGAGCATAATCAATTTGTAGCCGCTTGAAGGCCTTCGTAGAGGAGATGCATTTGGTTTGGCTATTTGGAGTTTTATAGTGGACAGTCACTTGGAATTGTTGGATGTCAGTACGACTCACCCCTTCTTCACTGTAGTAAGTCGCCATCCAACACTTGGATTAATATAAATCCCACCTCAAGTGCTTAGGCACAGAAAATAGGTAGCAATGTATTGAACACAGGGATCAAAATCTGTAGACTTTTCTTTTCATTGTTGTTATTTTCCTTTCTGATAACATAACCATATTGTTTTTCTGTTCTATTTTCTTCAGTTATCTGTTTTTAGTAGCGTCTCTAAGCCAACATATAGAATATCATTCAATTTAACTTAAATCGTTAATAATTATTTTATTTATTACTTTCTCCTATATGTATAAATTTACCTAATTTAATTTAAAAGTGTCATCTATTTGACAATCTCTGATATCCTGTCATTTCTTTTTCTTATCTTTAAAACTAGTTTAAATTAATTGTAATAATTTTTTTTTATATTTTTTCCCATTTATTTTTTATTAATATAAAAATTATGTCATTTTTATCCATTCTTTTTGGTATTCAACTTGGTTGATTGTTGGTTACACGTATCGGTATTATATTACTTATTATTAGTGTTGATATTTCCCTATCTAACGCCTACCTTTTTCGGTTTTATTAATTCTACCAACCTGAATCATAATCTAGATGCCTAATAATCTAAATATTTTGTAACTTATTTGGGTACTTCTACTATGTATTCACTAATTTTACTGCAACGGTTAAGTACACAAATACACATACACCTCTGTTTTTGTAATATTGTTTTGCTGCACACCATAGAAAATTTTTAAAACAATTTAACACCTTTATGTATAAGTAAGTAAATGAGTTTCTACATTCTTTTTTTTTTTTCAACATGTGTAATTATATTTTAGGTCTTATGATGACTGAGATGGCCAAAACTGCTCTCTTGACTACTAAACTGCAATAAATTAAATGTGGTACAGATTTTGTGTCTCTATTTCTAGAATTCTATTATGCCAACAAGTGGGCATTACGTCACAGGAAGGTTACAAATCCTTCCGATTCATAACCATGTCTTTCACAATAGTATAAATTATAAACAGTAAGCTACACTTAAATTTTTGTTATGTTTTGAAGATAAATCTAGGAGTCAATATGCAAATTTTGTTAGTTTAATTTATCTAGGAAGCTATAGATTTAAGGTCACTTTAATCCAATGACAAACCAATAGTAGGAAGTCTGAACTAAACCAAAATTTGCCTGTCGTCCTTTATCCTCGAGCAGGATGTCACAGAATCGTAATGGTAGTTAAAAGGGGTAGAAGGCAGAGGCGGACACTGGGGAAAAGTTACATATAATTCATAATTAAATAGTAATTCACAAAATATTATCCATTAGCTTGAATTTGAACTGGTGGTGAAAGATTTTGTGATTTTATTATTATTTTTGAATTGTATTTTGTTTATAATGCAGCCAAACAAACTGACTTCATTCCATCATTGACTTGGAACCGAAACAGTAACAACTGATTTAAATAAATATATTGTAACGTGCTGATTCCCAAATTGCAACTTTTTAATAGAGATCTAGTTTTGAGATCAATAAAGAACTAAATGAGCACATTAGATATCTAAATCTCTCAAAGAAGTGTCTGATGGTTTCTAGTTTCTAATTTCTGGTTTGGTTAACAAATTATAGAGATCAAATCAGATCTCCTAATATCGTAAAATTGTTGGTAAAATCCATAAAAGTTTAGTCACTTGGTCTTGGCAGAAAGATCTCATAAAAATAACAAAATAGTAATTTTGAACAAACCCTTGCAATTTTTAATAAGCTTTTTAGTATGTGTTTGCTTTATAAAGTCCAGTATGTAAAAGAGATTAAATTATGTATAGTCTAGATAATAGACAAAGATAAAATATTTTAATGAGGAGTCTTCTATATTTCTTGGAGCTGGTAGACCAACAAATTATTTTTTAATTCCTTTTACTAATCATTAATTGAAATCATCCATTTAAACCAATTTAAGAATTTGAAAACCTTTTGGAATGATTTTAGCAGTTTATAGATGTAACAAATAATAAAGTTGTTTATTCTGATATTCCCTTTCTTTCTAGATAAAAATCTACATAGTGGTTAAAGTTCGAAATAGTGTGAAGAAAATAATAACATTATGAAATAAGTCACTACATAAATTGTAAATAGCATTCATATTAGGAAATTGAAGAAGGATATCCAACTTCTCAAATGTAGTCATCTTAAAGTTATTTTAGATTCAAGGTCTGCAGTAAATATTAAAATATTCCTAAATAAATTCCATTAATTCCCAAGACTTCTAGAATTTATTTTATCCCATAACATTTTAAGAATCGTCGTGAGAAAAGGAAAACACAACGTAATCAACAAACCTATAGCTGCAAGAGAGAAAATTCATATTTCCGCCCTTTCATATCAAATTCTTTTAAAGTAATTTGTGAAGGCTTTAACTCGAGACGGACTTTGTTTTGGCTATTTAAAACGTAAATTTTCTGAGATTAGCACTGAAAGCCGGAATATTTGATGGTCGTCGGATAAGGCAACTTGTTAAATATCCACAATTTACCGCATTAATGAACGAGATTGAATCTGACTTTTAGTGTCCTTTGTTAAAGTAGTATGAAATTGTCCTGGAAATCATAACGCAGAGCTAAATTGACCTTAAAATCATAAGGTAGAGAATTACATAGAATTTGTTTAAATTAGGATTTTCCGGTTGAAAAATAGGCATAAAACTACACTACCTCCAGAAAATTCCAAAAAATCTTGGTGATTTTAGTGAAGGATAGGAGGTAAGTTTCTTTCAGGAAATTAAAACTGTGTAAGATCGCGTTACGTGTAGACTGTAGGGTGTTTCATTTTGTAAGTGAAAAAAATTAAATGTAAAATTTTTGCAGACTTTGCTTAGTGTCAGTAATGTAAAAGATATGTATGCAAAATTTCAAGAACATTGGACAATATTTAGAGGTTGGACACTTTTACCAGTTTTGTAAAAGTATGCAAAACACACGACTTTTCAATGTTAATTATTTTTATTGTTGTTCATCCCTGACCGATTCGCCAAATTTCTTTATTAGAGCACTTCTTCTTTCTGCGGTATGAGGCACTACCTTAAGAGCGTCCACTTGACTTCTTAGAGAATCACTGCAATATTCTGTCACGTATGGATCCCAAACAATTCAAGGAACATTTCTGTTTTACTAGTGATGAAATGACTCAGGTCTTTTCCTTCAAAAAAGTTTTTACCGTTTAATCGTTTAATTTTCTTTTTATTTGGAGATTTGGTTTTTAATGTTTAGTCATATTTTCAATGGCATATTCAACTGTTTAGTGAAGAGAACAATTTTAAATGCCTAAATTGCTTTTTCCATCCACCTTGCTTGATGCAGAGCTCCTGGAATTCTGAAACTGAATTCGTCTTGAGACCAATCTCTTAGGTACAAAAGTGATAGTTGTAATAACTTTATGTAGTCTTTTCTTGGATGACTTCCGTCTTTTTGTAAGAAGTTAATCAATTTCACCCGTTGTTCTTCTATAAAGCCCTGAACAGGACGTTCCTCCTTCAGCATTGTCGTATATGACTTTATATCATACATTGGAACTTTTGAAAGATCTGGATGTTAGGATCACTTGATCAAACTCCTCAAACACTCCTCATGAGTTTGATGACGGCAAGCCAATACAACAGTGTTCGTCCCAATTCCCTTTCAATTTTGGATCAGTCCTCTATTAGACGATGTAATATCAAAAGACATACCGATAATATTGTCACTTAGCTCAAATCGGTTCACTTCCCAAATAACTACTTCACCGGTGCCTTTCTGTGCAACAGATACTCCAAGCAAATGCTCAGTCTCTAGAACTGCAACTCTATCTACCACAGTTTTGACGTTCCCATGGGCAACTAAGAGCAACAATTTACTATCCCAATGCAAGACCAAAAGGAGGAGGATTTTTAAAAAGCGTCTCCTCGACTTTCCTTGCCATTTTTTCTTTTATTGGCCACCCGAGCTCGGTAAACGGTGGATGGAGATACGAAAAGTTTTGAAATATCGTGGCCAAGGCTCTTTGCAGTTGCTATAAAAGAGGTACTTGCTTGCTTAATAGAGAGTTGTTTTCGATCCCAAGTAGACGTGACTCTAGGACTTGAACGTAATGTTTTCTTTGCTTCGTTACTAGGCGCAGATGATGAAGAAGATGAGTCTTTCAGTATTACTGCCTTATTCATTAGAGCTATAGCTCTATAATGTTTAGATAAATCATTTTTCTCTTCTTTTATACATTTAGTTCTTATTTTGGAGACAAAAACCTTGTCTACTCCAGTCATTGATGAACTCATTCGGTTTTCTCTTTGTGCTCTAAGAAATGCTTTATCTTCTTCCGATAAGCTTGTTATTTCCATCACATTTTGCCGAGAATTGTCAAATAACTCGACAAGATTACCTTTCCAAATTTGCCGTTTCATATTAGCTTTATCGGTGTTTCTAGATTTCTCTTTACCTAGGTTTTGGAATTCTTTGTATAGCTTCTGTATACCAGCGTCTATATTCTCCTCTGTCTTAACAGGGATACTTGCTTTCCTCCACACTTCCTATAGTTAAGTACTAGTAGATTTAGCAGCTTCTGAAAGTGTTTTTTTCATTTTCCTATAACGGTAAATAAAAACTAATAGTACTTGTTCCTTTAAAGGGAGCCGAGCTTTTAAAAACACATCACTAGCCACCTTTTCTAGCAACCAAATTCCTCTTTTGGTTCCAATTTTAAAGCTCACATACCTGCAAAAGATGAAAGAAATACATGTTAAGATCAAAGATCACTAATCTAAAACAAGTCAATAATAGAAATTTCACCATTTTGTGATAAAAGTGAACAATCCCTAAATATTATCCAATATTCTTAAAATTTGGTATCTATTTTTTTATCACTTAGACTCAGGGCGTAAACAAAGTCGTATGAAAATAACAACTTTGAAAAAATGAAACACCCTAGTAGCCTGCTGTACTAAAAGGTACGTGAGAGCAATTTTCGAGTTCCCCTTTTGAGGCATTGATGGTCATACATACATTATTCAGTTTGTTGGAATCGGTTCATTAAGAGGATTTCAAAAATATGCAAATATACAGGGTGTTTCATTAAAAAAAAACAACACCTACCATGGCATACTTGCGTGAATCACCCTGTACATTTAAATTTATGTTTACATAACGCACAACTCAATTCAAAAGTTGACGTGTTTCGGCATTTTTTACAATTTTCTAAAATAATGACATAAAGAATTTTATTCCATAAATGGTTTCCACACTGTATAATAAAATTTAATTGCTGATGGAATTATTGATCCTTAAAGCCACTAAGCATTGTTTGGACTATCGGTTAAATTCTATAATATTAAATTTCTTATTTTGAAAACTGTTCAGCATTTCAAATATTTAATTGCACACCATATTCAAAATTTTGCCAAAAATAATAAATGTTAAAATAGTTTGACAAAATCGCTGGCAACATAATGTTGTTGACTCAGTAGGTTTAGTATTCCACATGAAAGGGTAAAACTCTATCCCAAAAACTGTATAGTAATAGTCATTGTTAATAAATAGAACAATATGAAATGGAAGTGGAAGAAAAAACAATAAATTTGTAATCCAAAAAAATAGAAAAAATTAATAGCGATTTAAAGAAATTATTGAAAATATCTTAAATAATGTGGAAGAAATAAGTACACATTTTTGGTTAAGCTAACTAGAATTCTTACCAATATGTTTCTAACCTCTTCTAAACGCAGTAATTTTAAATTCTCCCATTTATCTCTGCTACGTCCCTGACTTTCAGCATTATATTAAAGACAGAATGGACTTTAAAGGGATACAAACTAATTAGGAACGATACGGACGATAGCTAAACGATAATAATCGATTCTATTGTACTCTAAGGACTTCCGTTTACTCCTTAGAAACACTTAACTCAAGTTTATTAGACGATTCTGTTAGTTATGCTGATACATTGTAAAAGCTTCATAGGTAGTTTGATTATTACTAACCACTCCATCTCCAAATTTTATTAAATAACTTCCAACAATGTATAGCATAATCCTTGAATTCCAAGTAAAGTCTATATAAATTTCTTTGAAAATGTCCAGATTAATGTTTCATAATTATTCGTACGAAATATCGTACATTTACAGTAATAATATGTTACTATTACAGTAAAACGGGTTTACTGTAATGGTAATAACGTCTTATTATCATGGTAAAAATGTTTTACCAAAATACAATTCATATTAAAGGCTGAAATAGGTTTAACAAAGGTAAATATTTTTCCCATGATCTCAAAAAATTAATTCTTTTATCTGTCGCTTCATAAAAAAATATTTACACTAAATTAAACTAATTTCTGCTAAATAAATCGATTTGCTTAATTTCTTCCTTTGGAAAGTCAATTTTTCATAAAAGGATTGACAAAATAAAAAAAAACATAAAGAAAAAAGGTTTATTTTGAAACCAGCTTAGCAATTATTAGATACAATTGAATCGTTCCATTCTAAACGGGCGTATTTCCATAAAAATAGCATTTAATTTTTACGCTCCTATCGTTCTATGCAAAACGGGCGTATTCTTCGTAAAAATAGCATTGGACTTACGCTTCTTTAACATGGAGCGATTTAATTTAAAACTGAAAATTCAGCTAGTACTAAAATGTTATAATTTTTTTCTTAAGATACAACAATAAACATTTACAGGTTGTGGTTGGTTTATTTCTAATCCAAAACTCCGGGAATCGAAGTAAACTCGAAAATCATTTAAGATATAAATGTCAAATTTTGGAAATAACACAATATCAATTTTACCATGGTATTTTCCTTGGTCATACAAAATTCCTTGAATTTTTTCTTAAAAAGTAGACGTCGACTCATTTTTGGAATAAGATGCCTTATACTTTGTTTATCTAGTAGTTGAAAGGCATTATCATCAATGCCCTTATCTAAAAATAAAACCTTTTTTGTTGAGCTGGTTTTACAGAAGCGAGTCGCAAAACGTTCTGATTTGACCATTTTAAAGCACATTTAAATACTTTTTAAAATTTTATTTTTTTAGAAACACCCTGTTATTGATATAATGAAAATACAATTAATATCTACTTATGAAGGAGAGTTTTCATTTAGAAAATACAACAGAATAACTGCGCACGGAAATAATATCAAAAATGTTTACTGTTGTAGATTACTAGACCCAAATTGTTTACTTAAATTTTGGGCCTGCAATGGTAAAAATGTTTGATATTATTTTGTGCGCAGAAATTATCTCAAAAATGTGATCGTTTCATAGGGGCTTCAGTAAATAAAAATAAATGGTTTGTAAAAACTTACTTATTTCTTTTATTCTAACAAATTTATTGCTCTGTAAATCTTAACCAAACATTTTAAATAAATTTTAATCTAGAAACTTTTTCTTGGAAATATTAAATTTTTAATACTACATTTCTAAATCCGAAATAGAAGCATTTATGCATTATGCATTTCCCGCCTAAAAGTCCCACATTTCTTACTAATGTATAAATCAAAATGGCTACCGGTACTAAATTTATCTTTCAGATAATCTATGCATTAGCGTATTATTTTAAATTACTTACCTATGAAACTATTAACCAGGTCCGGGAACCCCGATTCTCTTAATAATGCACAATACTGGTACGTCTCCATATTCAATATATCCCCCAGATAGAAACCACGTACTTCGCACTTCACGACCTATGCTCACGACGACTGAACGTGTCTACTGTGGCTGTGTACTCAACTCAAAGACTGTGCAAAATGATAGGTCGAAGATCGCTCAATATTTCAATCCAGAAACGACTTCGGCAAATTCTTCGCCATTATTCGTAACGATTCGGTACATTTATTGTTAACCTGTTTAACTATGGTTGTTAGAAAAATATTACTAGTAAAAGTCTAACTGCGGTAGTAATAAAAATTACTGATTTAATTAGAAACGATTACTGTGATGATAATGCGTATAATAGTAATTCTATTTTCAACTGGAGTAGTAAAAAATATTACTACCACGGTAAGAATTTGGTCTGTAAAACTTAGTTTACAGACATCTAACATCTAATAGTTGTTGTTAGTTGTTGTTAGACAATCTAACAGTAGCAAAAAAAAAAGTTTTACATCCACAATAAACTTTTTAGTAGTTACACTTTCTTCCTGAAGCGTTTTTCTTAGTATATTATTATGGTATTATTTCATTTCTTCAGTTGAATTTAAAAATATGTTAAACTCACGATATTCAAAATATAAACTACTTTTTTATCAGTGTAATATTTTCATAGCCTGCTTGACCAGAAGGTTTATTAAACAGGAGATACAAAACAATCTAAAATAAAGTATAATTTATGTGTTAATTATCTATTATTTATTAGGTTGTATTGTTGTAGTAGTGATTTATTTTTGGTAATTTTAGTGTGGTACCTGCCGAACATATGAACAAATGAAATATTACTTGATACTTGAAATATAGATAATTGTAATTGGAAACTAGCAACAGTAGTCAAACAATATTTAAGAAGTATATAGGAAGTAAAAAAAAATAAATGTAGTTTAGGGAACAGAATATAATTAAATCGTGTATAGTATAAACTAATAATTTTATTAATATGACCAAGATATTGTAACGGACAATACCTTGGTCAAAAATATTTTAGAATTGTGAAATGTACATAAGTTAAAATAATAACAAATTAAAATTACTTATTAAGGTTTCTGTTAAATTATTTATAGAAAAATAAATAAATAATGTAACAATGTTGATTTAATTTCAAGCTATGAAAGCATAATAGGTTTCTAACAGTGTACAATAAATTATAAATGAATATGAACTAATAATACTTACAAATTTTGAGCATCAACATGTAAAATTTGACTTCACATGTAATTTAATATCACAAATAAAACTCTTTTGACAATAATTTTACTGGAAACTTGTAGAATGGAGTTTTGGGATTAGTTACTGACACAATCCACACTTTGGGAAGTCCAATCCTAATAGCTGGGTACAAATTAAGATGTCAGTGTAGACTCTATCTCTGATCCTAAAAAAATATTTAATATCAAAACATGTAGATGAGAATTAATGCTTACATAATGTTAATTATGGTTTGTAGAACAATTTTCAAATATTTAGAATCTCAAAATAACTAAATACCATTAAAAAAATAATAAAATAAAGTAACTTTTTAGGTCAATAATTTCAAGAAATGTTTTACAAAAAAGTGTATGCAAAAGCTTTAATTTAAGAATAAGTTAGAAAATCTTTGTAAATATTGTAAAATAAAATTGTTATAACTAAAAACTATCTAGTGAAAGTGTTTAAAATAGAGTGAGAAAAAGGTTATAAAAAAATAATAAATCATCCTCATATATGGATTTTGAAGGAAAATTTAGAAAAACTTACATCTTAGTAGGCTGTGACATCAAACTTTATTAAAAGCAATTTCCACCAAAAATGGAGTCAGTTCCTTTTTATTTTCTGCCCAGTAAACACCTAGGATTTTTGTCGAACTGTCGATAAGGAAGATTCTTGTATTACCGGTTTTTTGACACTTTTTGACATTGGAGCTGTAAAGACAGGAGATTTGCTGTCGAATTTTTGAAAATTGCCGCTGAAACTTCAATTACTGGATTGCCTACATATTATTCCCACAATAATATAAGTGAAAACTGGAGCATTACCTCGTTTGGAACATCACAATTCATCCAATAGGATTTTATAAGGTACTTCTGCACAAATTTGGAAAACCTATAAAAAAAAAAATGCTACGATAAATCTTGACAACTAGGAACTATTTCTATAAGACAAAAATATAAAAAAGTTAAATAAACATACCTAATCTAATCGAACTTTATTCAAACAGAATTCTAATTAAATTTATGCGAAAGTGACCCATATTAACATTGACATTTATTTTGTAATTAGGCTAAGATATTACCTATTCATTTCTATTCATATCTAATTTAGAATAATCATGCATGTTATTGATCTACAGACTTAAAACCAAACAAGTTTTTAGAACAATAATACTTTACTTTCTATCTACTAACTCTTTTGGCTTTGATGCAATCAATTTGGTAAAAAAAAAAAAACATTTCTTGAATTGAATTGAAGTACTTACGTGATTCACTTCATAATTATGCAGTATACTGTTAGAAAAACAGTTAATCACACAATTCTTAAATAAATTTCTTTTTAAAACTGAACACATACATTTATTTATTTAAATCTTCGCTACAAATATCAACATAACCTCTCCGATCTCCATTTCCAACCATATTTAATATTTATGACATGCTGCAACTTCACGCTCAAGGAACCCACCTGTGGATTAAGACTACTCGGCTCACAACCAGATCTAAGAGGATCGTTATTTTAAATTATTAATATTATTTTTAATAGCTAGCTTGGAGCAATAAAGTTATTAGGTGTATGGTGCGTACTGAGACTCAATAGGTGTTGCAAGGTACGAGCTTTTGCTGGCGCCCAGGGTACATTATTTTAACAATTTTTTTTTTAATAAAATTACCTTTTGTTTTATTTTCTTTTGTTTAATACTTTATCCAATGACATTATTTTTTTTTTAACTTTGATCATGAATGTTGCAAGAGTCAATCCTACACACTGGTAAGTTTCAGTAAATCTTAAAAATAATAATTATAAAAAAATAATAACAACAATAAATAAATTACACGCACGCGCACCTTAATAATATATAATAAATAAGAAAACATGAAATATGTTGAAATAGACCCATAAAGAGTTTAAAACAGTTAACAATATTGACAAAGAAAAATAAAGTGAGACAATAGGTTGAGATTATATAACTGAAAATGCAAATTTGGAAATTTGCAAATATTCTCCCTATGAAATTATAAAAAATGCACCCCCATACGATAAAAACATTTTTATAGTTGCTGTATAAAGTTTTATCATTAAACAATACCCTGTACATATTACTCGAAAAATATTTACCTTGAGACGAAACAGCATACGCAGCCCCGGGCGCCAAAAGTAGGGTTGCAACTGTGTGAAAGTTGCAAATATCTTTCTTTTTGCGATTGGCTCCGATATCCATATCTACACATTGGTGAACTAACTGTTAGGGCGTCACATGTGATTCAGATCTGAAACAAAAATAAAAACTTTTTAAATCTTTTCTATATTACCGGGTATTTTAGAATGAATTAATTGTTAATACGTTAAAACAAATATTTTTTTTTTTATTTAAAATCGACGTGTCTCGGCAGCTTGATGGCCATTGACACAAAAGCAGTATTGTAATTACAGTCTTAAATTAAAAATTATATAAATATTGTATGAAACTTAAATTGGATGGGTATCTTGTGAAAATTTGATTACTGCGATAAATTGACTGTTTAATATTTCATTTAAGGAGTCTTTGAAACAAAGTCTTCTTTAAATATCTACATAAGATTGCATTCCAGGAGAAAATGTTGTACAGTGAGAGGAGTTCCATCACAGTGCTGACATCATGGAGGTGGATTATCTGGAGACATTAGGTAACCGTGTGTGAGTCGTGTATGTCCTATCCTTAATCTTCGGATTATGATCCTGTGTTTTCTGTTCATAGAAGGTATTCTGACTGTGTTATTTACGGATGGTTGGATGTTGTGTAATTTTGTGTTCACTCTGTTCCAGTGATCAAACCAGTTGTTTACAATATTTTGCCTTATATTTATTTTGAAGTACTTGTGAGGTTAAATATTTTCCACAGCTAGATCAGGTGATGAAGCTTCTTTTGCTGCCTGGTCAACTCTCTTCAAAAAAAAACGAAGATTCTTTTGGTGGAAAGAGCGTGGCATATCTTGGGTATGCGTTGTACTATAGTATGTTCGGAATATATGTTTTTTATAGATTGTATTGAAGATAGAGTCTGTACATATCGCTATATTTTGGTCCTCTTTCATTTGAAGTGCATTTAAGATAGCATATAGTTCGCCTGTATGTACGCTGCAAATATTAGACAGTCTGCATTTTGTTA